CTGAGAAAAACAAGTTGGCTCATAAACTTTAGCGAAAGTGGGAGTGGAGTTGTTCTGGGAGGTGTGACACTTGCAGAACAGGGCACCAGGAGTTGATCAGTATTGGTGAAAGTGAGCTTAAGGGCTGTTAGTGGAGACACATTGACAATAAATAAAGTGGGCATAAAAAAGTTCAGCTAAAGCGTCGCCARAAAGTTATCAAGGACAAAATGCGGGTCAAGTACTGAGATATTGGAAAAAAGCATAGAAAGTTACAAAAACAATGATAGAAAATCGAATGTTCAGCGCAAGATGCTAAAAATGTTAAATTGTCGAAGAACACTTCTTATTAATGGAGGTCAGAGTTTATAGTTAGAACATGCAACGCTCTTGTTTTTATTAAATATGTAGTCGTGACCTAAATTGATAATGAATGATTTAAAATATACGATAAAGATCTTATTAAAATTTGAGAGGGTAAAATACATATCGAAGCTAATATACGGTTAAAAAATTATTTTGAAATAAAAATTTATTTTAAAATTTTAATTAATTCAATCTCTGGAACCTCAACATAATTGCCAGTTTTCTCCTTTGGACAAAACTCGGCGTTGTAAAAGTCATTTTCAGAAGCTTTCTTATTATATGAACACTTATCACTTGATTAACTTTTTTAGTAATCCAAAGCCCGAAAACGACAAAAACTTCTTTTTTTTTTGGGTTTTGTAGGAACCAATTTTTTCGAGATATATTAAAAGTAGTCTTCAAATTCCAAAAAAATTCGTTCGAAGTTAGGCCTCTCTTAAAGTGTTTAATTTCCTTCATGATTTTTAACATTTTCCAAACAATCTTTAAAATTATTGTATTTGTGGAAAAAAATATTAGCCAAAAACCGATAAAAAAATATATCACCACTTCAACGAAATTTCTGCAATAAGGGTGACAGAGATGGCAAGGTAAGGAGAAAATAACTAGAGGAAAGGATAAATAGACCGAAAGATATAGAAGATAGGAGCTAATGTTGTCAGAGGATAGAAAACGCCACAGAACTAATCTAGGGGGGCAAATATAAGACCGTTGGTTCCGGCCGTTGGCGACCGGACTTGGAGTCCTTGACTTTTACGCCTGTGGCACGATTTTGATATACTGGTTGAGATATCTTGTAGTCTGCAGTAGAAAAATACAAGCGAAAGAGAGTAAATGAAAAACATAAAAAACAGTTATTTGGCGGGAAAAGCAAAAAGTGAAATTAAAGAAATGCGCAATGTGTGTAAATAGAAATAAACATTAAATGTATGTATGTAAAATGGGTGGTAAGATAAGATCACCTACAACATTCCCAGCAAAAAAGAAAACGTGTGAAATCGATAGGAAACTAAAATCACAGAGACACAAATGAACGGAAACAAAGTGAAGTAACGGCAATGAAAATGAGCAGCAAGAGAGCGCGTGGGCGGTAATGGCGCCAAGCAGCAGACTTAAGAACTCAACCATAGACTGCCACAGACGACACGAAGGCACGCAAAATCATTGCAGAATTTATGTGCTTAAGTTGCTGCGCCGCAGAAGAGACGTGAAGAAGGATAGTAAAAGGAAAATATGAACGTCTATGTGACCAAACATTGAAACAGACGAAGGGTTTTGCTGTTTTGTAAGTAACTGTAAACAGTTGCATCCTCCACATACTTGAGCCTTGCCAAGTGGTGGCCGTCCCCTACCGCGTCACCAACGAACTATTGGGCTATGTTAACATGTGACAGGGGTGTCCCTGTTGGAAGTTTAAAATTTGGTGATGTAACTAATTTTATAAAATATTTCAGGAAAATAGAAATGATTTGAATATTGCGGCTTAGGACGATTCGCTGTAGTATTCGGTTGATTTGAAAGATAATCTTGAAGAGTTGACTCCTATTTGAAAATTTTAAATAACAGAAAACTAAATTGGTTTAAAAGGCTCATATTTAAAAATTTGCTAGGTATTGCCTTTTTATTGAATGATAATATAATTAATAGGTATTAAGAGCTGAAGAGGTTTAAAAAAGCTTATAGGTGAAAATATTTCAATAATTTTTTGAAACTTTTTTTAAATAGGTAGCGATAATGTTAGCCTTAAACTGGTTTCAGGACTGTTGTCATTGATAAATTTGAGTAACCGCCTTTTTTGAAGAAGTTAACTAATAAAATTGTTTTTGGAAATACTTTATTCATCCAAAAGATATTAATGATATAATTAATGACAACCTATCAGGGGTATTGAGTAATCTGATAGTTGTCGGAATCAGAATTGCAACCGATAAAGACGTAGTAGGTGTCATGAATTCGAATATTATTGGTTAGATGTTCGAAATAGAATTTGTGTCGGCTTTGGGTGTCATCGAAACCAATTTTAACGGTTTTCATATCAGAAATCAAGCAGGAAGATCGTTAACAATTTAGAACATTGAGTTGTCATTTCTGTATGCTGTTAGTTGAAAAATGTAAGTTGATAAATTTATATATTTTATTGTTACAAATTAATTAACTCTATTTATAATGGAGGAAATCATAAAAACAGAACACAAAATATCATAATAACTGAATTTATTGAAAAGATCCAGACATCATCATTCATTCATTATGGCAAGAATTAACGAATCCCTTAATGCTGCAGGTCCTCCACAAACAGATGTCACTGGGTGGAAAAAGGTAAATAAATAGCGTTCAGTGAAAATTAAACTGAAATTAAAACAGATTTATTTCTATGGGTTAGCAATGAGTGGAAAAGAGAAATTTAGAGAAGATTAGCTCAGAACAAATTGAGAGTCGAGCAACAGAAAGTGGCCTTTTTCTAAATAAGCTCACTCAAAATGAATAAACTATTGTGCGTCTATGTGGCATTTCTCAACCTGTAGAAGACATACCAGGCATTTTTGTAGACACTCAACTCGTCAATGAGAATTTAATTGTAGGAAGGGCTAAGTTCCTGTGCAACCKAACACATTATAGTATTGCAACTTACAAGAATCGAGGAGACGAAAATACCTTATGGTGTAAAACGTCAACCTCAGGATCGAAATTCACGCAATTTTATACAGTACACATCTGCTATATACATATAACTTCTATACTGACAGACACATAAAGTTTGTTTGAAAAACGAAAACCATTATTTGTAGTATATGGCAGTTGGACCCAATAACACATACTACTAACATGTTTTCTTCTTCTTGATTGGCGTAGTCACCGCTTACGCGATTATAGCCGAGTTAACAACCGTGGGCCAGTCGTTTCTTCTTTTCGCTACGTGGCGCCAATTAGATATTCCAAGTGAAGACAGGTCCTTCTCCACTTGGTCCTTCCAACGGAGTGGAGGTCTTCCTCTCCTCTGCTTCCTACGGCGGGTACTGCGTCGAATACTTTCAGAGCTGGAGTGTTTTCGTCCATCCGGACAACTACTAACATGTCACATACTAAAAAAAACTAATCATATAGATATAAGTCAGCCGGAAGTTCGAAAATCCTGATATTAGTTATAAGGATGGTAAATCAAGTTTTCGCTCAAATTTAGCTATTTTAGGCGCTGTTATGAGAAAAACAYGCTCAGTAATTTTTATTGAGATAACTTAAATATTGGGCGATATACTCGTAKTCAGCATAAAGTTACYTGGAAGTTYGAAAATCTTTATATTAGGTATATGGGGGTTCAGGGAAGTTTTGACCCGATTCGACCAATGTTTGGCACGCAGACATGCCATTAWTAGTGAATGGTTATCCTTCGTTAAAAAGTCAACTATAGGTACTGGGATCCAACTATTCTGTACCAAGGGGCTTGAACGTTTATTGTCAGATTTGCAAAATTAATAATTATAAGGTGGCAGACAATAGAGGCATTATTCGTGCAAAGTTTACTCCTGTTATATTAATTGCTTCTTGGATTTTATATTAGAAAGTAAAAGTATCAAGTGGAATTTAAAGTTGTGCTTTTTGGTGGTGGTTATTGCGATATTGGACATCGCTCAATTTCACAATGTGACRTAGAAATATGAGAAGAAAAAATACATACYAAATTCTGTCGAAATCGGACAATCAAATCCCTAGATATGGGATTTTACCAAAAAGTAGGCGGTGTCACGCCCATCCTCCAATTTTTACTTCGTTMCCTATAAAGCCGTATCATACCATTTTGGCAAATTCTTGTGTCTGTAGCCCATTTGATTATTGATTTATCGCGCTTTAGTAGTTTAACCGTTATATGGGGATTAAGCGAGGTTTCATCCGTTTTCATCCATTTTCATACTAGAGGTCGGAGTTCTCGTAATATTTGTGAAGGGCGAAGTTGGTTATTGTATGTTTAGCGGTTTAGRAGATATGCACATTAAACTTATTAGAGGCCAAGCCCACTTTTTAAAAAAAATGTATCCGGTTTTGTTTAGTTTATACAGTTGCGRCTGGTTACTGCGATACCCTGTGCAAAATATGATTTTTGTATCTTAATTTAGTGCTTAGTTATGGCACTTTATAGGTTTTCGATTATTGGCGAATTGTGGGTGCGGCAGTGATGCGATTACGCTCTCGAACTTTTTTATACTAAGAAACCTGCATAAACACGTTTCATCAAGATATCTCAATTTTTACTCAAGTTACGGCTTGCACGGTCGGATGGACGGACGGACAGACAGACAGTCAACCTAATTTCAACTTTTCTCGTCATTTTAATCATTTATATAGTTTTAGGTGATACGTACAACCGTTAGGTGAACAAAAGTATGTTGCAAGAGTATAAAAATACTAGCAGCTTGAGGTGTGTGTACAAGTACATATATACACCATGCATCTGTAAAGTTTTATATATTTTCAGCAAATTYCAGTAGGAGACTTAATTTTAAGGTTGGCTTCATTATTGAATACAGATTAATGACACACGCACGATAAGGCGAAAACGAGCTCGTTTATTTATTAGAGTTAATGGTCGCTCACATAAAAATTAACTCATTTATCTTCTTTGAAAACAATATATATATATGTTTTTTTTTTTTTTTTGATTCCCTAAGTTAAGAAAGTTTTGGTTTATTAATATACTATACATATATTAAAATACATACATAAAAAGTAGCTTTTTTAATCTAAATTTACCACATCCGACATTTATTCTTGGCTGGATTCATTTTACTACCAACTGGACAGTTGTAAGCTTTGCTAAATTCTTCAGCATTCGTTACGGTGCCTAAAACGCGAAATTTTTCCAATGCATGCTCATTCTTAAGCTCCTCCCAATAGTGGTGCTCCTTRTAGGAAGCACACCAGAGTTGCGCGAAGCCCAGAAARTAYAGCTGCTCGGGYGTTAGATSCAGTCCGGGCATCTGTAMATCTTTTGGAGATAGATTCAACTCTTTCACATGCCTGTGATATGCAGATAATGCCTGTCGCAAGCCACCATTATCGGCAATATTTTCGTCCTTGGTCTGATTACCATTCACAYAACGTTTGATTTCAGATATCTGTAAATGGATTACCGAAATGATTTAACCGTATACGTATGGTTTAAAAAATGCAGGTGTTTATACATTTGTATGTATATAATTACCTCATAAGCGTTGTATTGATTAACAAAGCACTCTTCGCRCTCGCTGAATGCCTTACCAGCCTTCGCCGACCACCAGTAGTTCTCTTCGCCAACGCTATTGTAATGCGCGCCCACCGAGTCGAAGGCATGTGTGAATTCGTGTCCCACCAAGTAGCCAATGGTACCGAATTTCAGTGCTGCTGGCCACGCCTTATGATAGACGGGTGGATGTARAATGCCAGCCATTATATAAATGGAATTATCCACATTCTTATAAACGGCCTTCACTTGTTTACCCTTCAATAGCTCTAACGGTTTCAATGTGTAGTTGTCATATTCTTTGTGRTGTAGTCCRTTGAAACGTCTTTGCATTGTTCTGAATTTAAATAAGTTGACTAAATTTAGTTCGTAATTGCCTTCCACATAGTTAAACTCGTTGATTTGCTTTATCAAACGATTTTTTATATTTTTATTCTCAATACTTCCAATATGTGGCTTAATAGCTGCCTCCTTAAGCAGCGCTTGCTCTCGCGTTTTCTCATCTAACCACTCRGCTTGCTCTAATATTTCACGCAAACTCTTGCGYACCTCTWTGACGATATCRCTWATTTCGCCAYGCRTTTCATTGTCAAAGTATTCCTAAAAATTTAAAATACATACTTGTATACATATATAATTTAATAAATACATTAGATGTTCCATAAGCATATAAGAACGAAATGCTTAAATATATAAATTTTTGGATTACTACTGTGAATTTTTAATTTATAATATACTTAGCGTGTTTTTCGAGTCGACAAATTTTTCTGTAAGTTGGTAGTACTGTTACTGACATCTATGCTAAATTTCACGTCAAAATATTCATTAGTATTTGAGACACACGTCYTTTTGTGAGGCTCTAAAAGTGAATTTTTCGATTTCTACTATGTCTGAATTTATTGAACAAAGAAGTGCGATAATGCACCATCTCATACTGCATTGGTTATTATTTRTATATTTTCAACTAATATCATGCCGTAACCACCGCATTCACTTGATTTACCTTCGTGTAACTTCTGGCTATTCAGTAAATTC